GGGGTGGTGAGGGCAGGAGGGGCTGTTGTGTTTATTGATTAGGGAGAATAACACAGCCGTACTGAGGGGAGACACCTTGTTTGGCTCATCCAGTGAGGCGATATGGGTAGACCTCAGGAAGAGGAAAGATGCAATCATTTTGACAGGGTTGTATTACAGGCCTTCCTAGAGCCAGTGGGTGATAGAGGAATAGACATGTGGTCAGATTATGGAACAATATGAAAACATCAGGATTGATTTTAACTTCCCACCTATTAATTGGTACTCGCTGAGCGCCGGGGTTTGGATTGCGGGAACTTTGTTGGGTGCGTTCTGTGTGGGTTTGTTGAAGCAATATGTAAATAATCCAATTTAAGGAAGGGGTCACTCTGGACCTGGGTTTGGGGAATGAGCCCGGCCAGGTAATTGAAGTTTCAGTGAGGGAGCATTTTATCAACAGTGACTGTAATTCTGTAAGTTTTAAGTTACTTATGAATAAGGATGAGTAGTCCTCAGGTGATAGTAGAAATTGTGGGAAGGCTGACTGTAACAGTATTAGGCAGGATCTGGGGAATGTAGATTGGTGGCAGCTGTTTTAGGGTAAATTCACAGATGTCATGTGTGAATCTTTTAAAGCCATAAGGCATGCTTCCCGACACTGGTCAGGGCATGGAATATAAAGATGGCAAGTCATTTTGCAGAGGTATAGAACATTAGTCAGGCTACATCTGGAATATTGTGCGCAGTCCTGGTCACCACAAAAGGTTTACCAAGGTGTTGCTTGGCTTGTAGGGTGTTAGCTGTGAGAAGAGATTGGGTAACTTGGTTTGTTTTCACTTAAAGGTCGGAAGTTGAGGGAGTGACCTGTTAGAAGGTTACAAAATTGTGAGAGGCATGGTTAGAACGGAAAGCTGTTTTTTTTTCCATGGTAGAAATGTCAGTTACCAGGGGACAGAGGTTTAAGGTAAAAGGGGGTAAGTTTAAGGGAGATGTGAGAAGCAGTTTTTTTACACAGTGCCTGGAATATATCGCCAGAGGAGTTTGTAGAAGTAGATAAAAAAAAACGTTTAAGAGGCATCTTGACAATACGTGAATAGGCATGCGATTGGAGGGATATGGACCACGGAGAGGGAAAACAGTTTTTAAGTTCAGAAAGGCGTCATGTGTCAGTGCAGGCTTGGAGGACAAAGGGCCTGTTCCTGTGCTGTACTGGTCTTTGCTCTTTTGTGGAGAATGGATAACAGGAAGACACCTCACTGTTCGCTCATCAAAAGATACTATCACCCTGGTGAATATTGTTCTACTTGAGTCTTTAAGACTTGCACTGTAAAGGTATACATGTTTAATACAACTTGTATCAGTAATCTCTGCAGGTGAAGATGTTAACAGATATCAATATAATCGGTATCACAATTTGGTGTACAGAAGTTGGAGGGAAAGGAACGAGAAGGCATGGCATTCTCTTGAATGGTGAAACCAAATTGAATTTCTGAAACTGGGTCCCATTCTGTTTTCAGTGGGAGTTGGAGAGTTTTCAGTAGGAACAAAAACAAGTTGCCACCCGAAACATTGACTTCTCCTTTCCTCCAGATGCTGCCTGGCTTGCTGTGTTCTTCCAGCCTCCTGTTTGTGTACCCTGGAAAAGCTCAGGAGGGTCTGACAGCATCTGAAGAGAAATTAGAGTTAACGTTTCGGGTCTGGTTGCTGAGATTTTCCAGCAGCCTCTGTTTTTGTTTCCGATTTACAACAGCCATAGTTCTTTTGATTTTTTTTAAGTTTAGATTTCAGGGAGGTGGAGAGTTTTCATTTGGAGTGGCTTTTCTGTGCCGTTTGGCGTTAGGACCCTGCGGAAGCTGCCACTTGCTGCTTTACCAGCGGATGCCTGTCACTCAGAGTTAGTCTTGGGAATTGAGCAGAAGCCAGTTCTTGTCACAAATCACGCCCCAGTATCGATGAATTGGTTTCTCGGTTTACCTACCACTGGCAGTTCAGTGTCTTGTGTACTTGAAGCCCCTTATTAAGTTGGATGTGATTGGTTTGACCCTGGCGGTGAAGTTCTTGGAGAGACTGGGCTCTAAGAAGGAGAGGGGCATTGGGACACAGTGGAACACCGCTGGAATAGTGCAGCAAACCGGGCTGTTTCACCCAGTGTTTACTGCCACTGTCTACATCCCCTCCCGCAGACCCCATTCTCACCTCTACTCAGCTCATTCACCTCGAGCTCAATCTTCTCCTACAGATGTTACACGGTATCGGCATGTTTCTGTTCCAGTTCCGTACGTCTGAGCTATAATTAATCAGACACTTGTTAGTTCAAAATGTTAACGCCTAATTTGTTTAGATATTGTTTACTTGGCACAATATTGATTGAAAATCTTTCTACAAGTGTGGATCACTGACAATTGTGTAGTTAATTCCAGATCACGCGAAATCTCAGTCACACTTTGCAGTTTTTTTTTCTCTCATGAGCTTGGTGCTTATGGAGTGGATTGCATTGAAGGTTTCTGGGTTTCCAAATGCTTTTCTTCTTTTCAACTGGAGCAGGTGTTGGGGACAGATGAAGACAACATGGGGGATGTTTGTCCTCAGAAGCTGGGATCGGTCAAGCACCTCCGCCTCCTGCTGTTAATACTTATTCCATGTGTCTGCGCTTTCATCTGTGTACTAGTAATCCTCTTGGCATTTGTAGGTAAGATGATTTCAATATTACTCGTTGCATGTATATTCTCCGTGTGTGTGGGATTTTAAAGGTGTCTGATGTGCTTTCCATTGTTGAGGCACATACTCAACGTTTCATTAAAGGCATTAACCAAGGCTGTTCTGGAAAATAAAATGACTGTTATTTGCTTTAATTTTGATATTTAATGATATGTTTGAATGTCTAACGGTATGTACATTCTAGTTAACCGTGGCCCCTGGGCTTCGTGCAGATAAAACAATACTGGGTGCTTCTATCCAAGATGATATCAAAGTTAGTGTTTCAATTCAGAAAGATAACACTCAGACTAATTGGAATTTCTGAGCTCGGAGTTATTGTGCTAGTGACTTGGCAGATGTATGTGTATCCTGTCATAGCTCTTCAAGGTGCAGAGTGCTCCCACAAATAAAAGCTATGAATTGTGGAGTAATAGGAAATCAGGGCGAGTAAAGTGAATGCCTGTGTTGGTTCTGACCTTCAAGAGATAAATCTATCAATTTTTTGCCGAGACCAATAGGAACTCATACACCTCTTACATCACATCTTTCCCATTGCTATGTTGTATGTTGTTATATAGGATACTTCTGTCCTGATGTTCAACATTTTTATGCTGAAAATACCTGCTAGTGTACCTCAGTGAGCAAGCTGTAGAGGTCAGTATGGAGAACAGGTTAGAATGATATGTAACTTTTAACGTCATGAATGCAAGAATCTAATAACTGGTGAAGGTCAGAAATGTTCATATTTTGAGTTGTAAATATTTGGATCGCAGGACTTCTTATAAAGTAGGAAAGTTTAGTTTCTTTTTAAGATATGATGGATAATACGAAATACTAGAAGGAAACAGAAGTTGTGTTTTGGATGGTATATGTTTGGTGATGTTTTGCAAAGTTGTGATGCCTGTGCTGAACTCCACTTCTGAAAATTAAATGATTCTGTTTTTGTTGTTAAAATTCCCAGCCAAAATCGTGAAAGAGCCTTGACTTGAGAAGGACATGCTGTATTTTTTGGAAGTAATATACAATATAAAAATAAAAAATAAACATACAATAGAATGGATGTCAAATTGTTTGTAATTTCAGCATAATTCTATTGTAGATCCACCTTGGAACCTACAACTTTTGAAAAAGAATCACATTTCTCAGTGAGCAATGGAAATAAAACAAGGACAAGATTTTGCATTTTAGAACTTTGACTGTGAAACTGTTATCAACATAAATCAGACAGCACTTCATAGGCATCAAATGCATTGAACAAAAGAACATATACTTTAACTAAGTAATATAACCAAGATGCATATTACAACTTCTATTGCTATGCACCTCACTTTCTGGCAGATGCATGGCAGTACATGAACAAATCCCCAGTTACTCCCAGCTTTCCTTAACACCATGAGCAGAAGCAGTAGCAGATGTAGGCCATTCAGGCCATCAAGTCTGCTTCATCACTGAAGGAGAGCATGGCTGACCTGATGATCAGCAACTGCACTTTCTTGCTTTTACCCCATAACCCTCGTTTCCCTTACTGTTTAAAAATCTGACTACCTTAGCCTTGAATTTACTGAGTGATCCAGCCTTGACAGCCTCTTGCAGTAAAAAATTCCATAGACTCACTATCCCCAAGAAAAGAAATTCCTCCTCATCTCTACCTTAAATGGGTGAATCCTTACTCTGAGAGTATAAACTATGTCCAAGACTCTCCCACAGGGTCAGACAATCTCTCTGCATCTACCCTGTCAATCTGCCTAAAATTCTTAGACGTTTCAATAGGTCTCCTCTCATTCACTGTTTAGCCTACTCAAATTCTCCTCAGAAAATCACACTGTACCTATAATCAAATTCAAAAACCATTTTTTGAACTGTCTCCAATGCCAGTATATATTTCCTTAGATAAGGGCACCCAAAATTCATAATATTCTAGATGTGGTGCCTTGAATAGTTTTAGCAAGACTTCCTTTGTTTAAACTCTGTTCATTTTGAGGTAATGACCAACATTTCAATTGCCTTCCCTATTACCCGCTGAAGTTGGATGCTAACTGATTGGGATTCATGCATGGTGACCCCCAAAATCCTCTCTACTGCAGCTTTCTGCAGTCTTTCTCTATTTAAATAATATCCAACTTTCCTATTCTTTTTACCAATGTGCATAACCTCACATTTTCCCACATCATATTCCATCTGCCAGGTTTTCTGCCCATTCACTTGACCTGTCTATACCCCTCTATAGACTCTGTGTCATCTTGTCCTCCTGCCTATTTTTGTGTCATCTGCAAACTAAGGCGATAAATCATAGAATCCCTACAGTGTGGAAACAGGCACTTCGGCCCAACAAGTCCACACCGACCCTTGGAGCATCCTACCCAGACCCATTCCCCTATAATCCACACACCCCTGAACACCACAGGCAATTTAGCATGGCCAATCCACCCTAGCCTGCACATCTTTGGACTGTGGGAGGAAACCGGAGCACCCGGAGGAAACCCACGCAGACACGGGGAGAATGTGCAAACTCTGCACAGACAGTCGCCCGAGGGCTGGAATCAAACCCGGGTCCCTGGCGCTGTGAGGCTGCAGTGCTAACCACTGAGCCACCGTGCCGCCCCTACTCACTTCTGTCATCTAAGTCATTAATATATACTGTAATTAATCATGGCCCAGCACTGACGCCCAGAAGCACTCCAGTAAGCTACAGATTGATAGCCTGAAAACTCCCCCTTTATCCAAACTGCCTGTCTGCTATTAGTTAGCCAATCCTCTATCCATGCTAGTATACAACCCTTAACATTGTGGGCTCTTATCTTATTAAGTTACTTATATACAGTACCTTATCAAAAGCTTTTTTGGAAATCCAAGTATTTTAAATCTACCAGTTTTCCTTTGTCTCCCCTTTTGTTATCTCCTCAAAACGTTATAAATAAGATCTGCTGGACATGATTTCAATTTCATGAAGCCCTGTTGCTTATGCTTGATTATATTTTGTATTTCCAAATGCTATGCTACTACATCATTTATAATAGATGCTAACATTTTCCCAAATATAGATATTAAGCTAACTGGCCTATAGTTTTTTTTTTCCATCTCCAGTTTTAAACAAGGCTGTTACTCTGGCAGTTTACCAATCCTCTGGGAAATTACAGTTAGTGCATCTGAGTAGCTATGTCCTTTAATACCCGAGGATGTAACCCATTAGGTCCAGGGGACTTATCAGTCTTTAGTCTGAGAGAGGTGATGGTCTAGAGATCCAGATAATATTCTGGGGACCTGGGTTCAAATGGCAGATGGTGGTATTTGAATTCAATAAAAAAAACTGGAATTAAGAGTGTAATGATGATTATGAATCCATTGCTGGTTGTTAGAAAAGCCCATCTGGTTCACGGAGAGGGAGAATCCGATGTAATACTGTTATAATTGAGTAAAGGTAATTACACAGACAGGAGGCCAGACTTGATTGGAAGGAGAGCCTGGCAAGGAAGGCAGTGGAGCAGCAATGGCTGGGGTTTCTGGAGGTAATTCGGGACGCACAGCAGAGCTTCGTCCCAAGGAAGAAGAACCGTATTAAGCGGAGGATGAGGCAACCATGGCTGACAAGGTCCATCAGGGACAACGTAAAAGCAAAAGAACAAGCATACAATGTGGTGAAGATTAGTGGGAATCTGCAGGATTGGGAATCCAGAGGATTGGGAAGCCTTTATAACAAAGGAGAGGATAACTAAAAAGCAATAAGGGAGGAAGAAGAGAAATAAAAGAGTAGGCTAGGTAGTTCTAGAAAAAAAGTTTTCAAGAGTTTTTTTTTAGATTTTTAAAAGGTATGAGACATTGGACCTGTGTAAAATGAGGCTGGAGAAGTAGTAATGGGGAACAAAGAAATGGTGGAGGAACTGAATAGGTACTTTACATCAGTTTTCACAGTGGAAGACACCAGCAACACACAGAACTTCAAGAGAGTCAGTGAGCATACTTAAGTGTAGTAGCCATCATGAGGGAGAAGGTGCGGGTTTAGCTAAAAGGTCTGAAGATTGTGGAGTACTTGGAAATGGATGATAAAATAGGGCAGAGTCAACATGGCTTTGTCAAGCAGAGGTCATGCCGGACAAATCTGTTAGACTTCTTTGAGGAGGCAATGAACAAGTTAGACAAAGGAGAGTCAGTGGACGTTTGGATTTCTATTTGGATTTCCAGAAGACCTTTGAAAAGGTGCCTACTAAATAAGATAGGAACCTATGGTGTTAGGGGCAATCCTTGCTAGAGGATTGGCTGACTGGCAGAAAGTGGAGAGTGAGGATAAAGGGGTCTTTTTCAGGATGGTAGCCAATGAGTAGTGGAATTCCACTGGGGTCCATATTGGGACTACAGCTATTCACATTATAATAAGTGATCTGGATGAAGGAACTGAGAGCATTGTTGCTACATTTGCAGATGACACAAAGATAGGTGGAGGGACAAGTAGTGATATGATAATGTGGAGGCTGCAGAAGGATTTGGACAGGCTAGGAGAGTGGGCAAAGAAGTGGCAAATGGAATACAATGTGGAAAAATATGAAGTTAAACACTTTTTCATTGGAAGAATAAAGGGCATTTTCTAAATGGGGAAAGACTGCCAAAACCTGAAGCACAAAGGTACTTAGGAGTCATCAATCAGATTTCAGCTGAGGCTGTCTTTGGAATATTGTGAGCAGTTTTGGGCTCCGTGGTTAAGGAAGGTTGTACTGGTGTTAGAGGAGGTCCAGAGGAGCTTTACAAGAATTATCCCAGGGATGAAGGGCCTGTCATATGAAGAGCAGTTGAGGACTCAGCGTCTGTACTAAGTGGAGTTTAGAAGAATGAGGGGGGATCTGATTGAAACTTGCAAGGTACTGAAAGGCTTGGATAGAGTGGTCGTGGTGTTGATATCTCCACTAGTAGGAGAGACTAGGATCTGGGGACGCAGACTCATAGTGAAGGGACAACCCTTTAGAACTGAAATGAGGAGGAATTTCTTCAGCCAGAGGGTGG